GGGCTATTTTGCTTTTTTGCTCCCATAACGCCCTTTTTCGGTTAAGTTTAAGGCGTTTTTGGCTCTAACTCCCAACCTACACATGCTAATTACATTTCGTCTATTGTCATAAGTCCTATTTGTCACGGGAAAGGTGGTCGTGACATCCGTACAGTGGTTCGGGGGTTGATTTGGATTTTCGCCCCCTTAACGCCCTTTTTCGATTAAGTTTAAGGCATTTTTGGCTCTAACCCCCAACCTACACGTGCTAATTACATTTTGTCTGTTGTCATAGGTCCTATTTGTCACGGGGAAGGTGGCCGTGACATTTGTACAGTGGTTCCGGGGCTGTTTCGCTTTTTCGCTCCCATAATGCCCTTTTTCGGTTAAGTTTAAGGCATTTTTTGCTCTAACTCCCAACCTACACATGCTAATTACATTTTGTCTATTGTCATAGGTCCTATTTGTCATGGAGAAGGTGGTTGTGACATCTGTACAGTGGTTCGGGGGCTGATTCGCATTTTCGCCCCCTTAACGCCCTTTTTCGGTTAACTTTAAGGCATTTTTTGCTCTAACTCCCAACCTACACATGCTAATTACATTCTGTTTATTGTCACAGGTCTTATTTGTCACTAGAAAGGTGGTTGTGACATCCGTATGGTGGTTCCGGGACTGTTTTACTTTTTCGCTCCCATAACGCCCTTTTTCGGTTAAGTTTAATGCGTTTTTGGCTCTAACTCCCAACCTACACATGCTAATTACATTCTGTCTATTCTCACAGATCCTATTTGTCACGGGGAAGGTGGTCGTTACATCCGTACATTGGTCCGGGGGCTGATTCGCGTTTTCGCCCCCTTAACGTCCTTTTTCGGTTAAGTTTAAGGCATTTTTGGCTCTAACTCCCAAAGTACGTGTGCTAATTACATTCCATCAGTTATCACAGGTCCTATTTGTCACCGAGAAGGTGGCCATGACATCTGTACGGTGGTTTCGGGGCTTTTTTGCTTTTTCGCTCCCTTAACGCCCTTTTCGGTTAAGCTTAAGGCATTTTCGGCTCTAACTCCCAATCTACGCATCCGAATTACATTCCGTCAGTTGTCACAAGTCCTATTTGTCATGGGGAAGCTGTCCGTGAGAGCCACATAGTAGTTCGGGAGCTGTTTTGAATTTCCCCCCCAGAAAGCCCTTTTTCGACTAAGTTTTGGGTGTATTCGGCTCTAGCTCCCAACCTATTGGTCCGAATTACATTTCGTCAGTTGTCACAAGTCCTATTTGTCATGAGGAAGCTGCCCGTGAGAGCCGCACGGTGGTTCGAGGGCTGTTTTGAATTTTCTCCCCGGGAAAGTCCTTTTTTGACTAAGTTTAAGGCATATTCGGCTATAACTATGGTAAAGCCATAAACATTCCTAGTGGGCTGATTGATTGCCAAATGAGAAGTTAATGCATGTGGAATCTGATTCAGAAGTGAGATTACACCACTTTTCATGAGTATGACAGTGAACTTTTCGTGAGTATGACAGTGATTCCAAAAGTGAGATTACATTTGAGCTTTCATTGTGCAATACCAGACAGAAATTGGAGAGGCAAATAAGATTAAAAATTCATCCAAGTTTCAAATAAAGTAAGGGAGTTTTCCAATTTTCATTTATCAATTAAATAATATTTGAAGGAAAAGATGAGAAGTATCAGAGAATATGATAGTCTCCCAATTTTCATTTGTCAATCAAATGAAGGACAAGTGCATGGGCAATTTTTGTATTATTAGCAGCAATGACAATGTTCTGCATGAATCCATTATCTTAAAACATATATTTACATAAGAGTATGGCAGATTGCAAAATAAATATATAGGATATGACTAGAGGACAAGAGAACATACTCAATGTATCCGGTAAACAGTTCACAACCACCAGCAAGACCAGGTCCTTCAATTTTTGGGTGCTAAAATGAAATAAAAAATCAGACCGCATGGCGTGAAATATCATAGCTAAATCTAAAGAGTTTTTAACAACTACCTCAATAATAACAATTCAAAGCCATTCACTATAACTAAAAGGGGAACAAAAGTGCAAATAATAAGTATATATTTTACTGTTTATAAGCAATAAAATAATTGACCACGAGATTGCACTCCCTATTACTTGCATATTTGGATTTAATTTTACCATTAATTCACTTCTATACTATAAGATTCAATGAGTGAAATTTATTTAGATTTAACACGCTTTGAAATTTCTTAGCATTTAATGCAAGGAACTTCTAACAAATTCACCTTTGGCACTAACATCAAGGAACACCCCTCCCCTCTCTTCTTCTCTTCATGCATTTTACCACTCCTAAACCAACAATCTAATCTCACCACCTTTAAAAATAGTCCCTTCCTTCTATTCAAATGCATTACCTACCGTTCAAATATTCCCAACCTACAACCAAGATATTTACCCTACCTCTCATTGGAATGGGAGGTTGAATAGAAGGGTAGCTGACGATTATCGAGTAAGCTATTTGTATGACATATAATAAATTGGTAGAAGTATAATTTCAAATGTGTCCCAAGCATGTTGTGTCCAGATAGGGGAAACCAAAAAATCAAGGGCTAACCCATCACCTCATCTAAGAAATCAAGAAACAAAAATAAATCCGGATCTACAACTTGCAAATCAACATTTGAGAGAAATTAAAACATATATAAAATAACTACTATGCATTGAACAAGTCTTTGTGATGTCATAAAAATACACCAAAAAAATAGAAAGTGATACCCAACGTCAACTTTTAAAATTATCCAAACACGAACTAAATAGATTATTCTCATGAAAATGAAACAACCAAACTCATCAAGTGTAGTTTAGTTGCATTTGTTGCATTTTTTTTTAAACTCATCAAGTATAGTTTAAACTCACCGAGGTCGACAGACCTGAGAGAGAGAGAGAGAGAGAGAGAAAGAGAGAGAGAGAGAGAGAGAGAGAGAGAAAGAGAGACAGACCGAGAATAAGAGAGAACCTGGAAGGATGCGGCGGTGGTCCTCCTGATTTGCGGCGGCGGCGGTAGCTATGGCGATAGCGGTGGCGGTGGCAAGCGGTGGTGGCAAGCGGCAGTTGTCTGCGCTGAGGTGAGGTTGGGTGAGGTTTGGTGCTGACAGAATCTGTGTGTGAGAGAGAGCACCAGATGTGTAAAATTAAACAGGCGCCAACATTTATTCATTTCCCTCTATTTCATTCAACCTTTAGCGGCAAAACTACTAATTTGTCGAAAAATAGTGGCAAATGTTATTAATGTCGACCAAACCATTAGTCGCTGAAAGTGAATATTGGCCAACTAACTTCCTAGTAGCCAAAGACTAACAGTAAATGTCTGTTTTTGGTTAGAAACAAAATACATAAATAATAAATAACAAATCGTGACTAAATATTTTAGTCGTTAATTATTTTTTAATCCCTCCAAAATTTGAAATGTCCCTCCAAATATTTTAGTTTTGCTACTAAAATATTCTTTTGTCGCTAAAAATATACTTTTGGCGACCAAACTTTTGGTTGCCAAAAATAAAAAATAATATTTTTCTTTTCATTCGGTTACTAAACAATTTTAGTAGCTAAAACTAACTATACGGTTACTAAAATATTCTTTTGTCGCTGAAAATATACTTTTGGTGACTAAACTTTTGGTTGCCAAATATAAAAACAATTTTCTTTTTCTTTTTTTCATCCGGCCACTAAACAATTTTAGTAGCCAAAACTATCTATACTGCTACTAATTTTTTTTTTTATTCGCCAACTGTGATATTCTTAGTGACTAAATTTTTTTCAGTCGTCAATAATCAATATTTCCCGACTAAAAAAAATTAGTAGCTAAATATTTGACTTTTGCCGACTAACATTATTTTTAGTCGCCAATTCCACAACTTTTGGCGACTAAATTTTTTTTAGTCGCCAAAAGTGGTCGCCAAAAGTGCATTTTGTCGTAGTGCAACTAGGGATGTAATAATGGTCTGACCCGGCCCAAGCAGGCCTCGCGGGCTCCCTTCTTTTTAGTGGGCCGAACCGGGCTGACCCATGGGCCAAAAAGTGGGGCCCAAGCCCACTTATAATAGGGCCTAGGGCCTGGGCCGCTGGCCGGGCCTAGTCAGGCCTTTTTTTATTTTTTATATTAGGAATAAAAAATTAAAAACAATTATATTAAAGTATTTTAGTTAAAATTAATGAGATGTTTTGTTTGGTTATATTTCATGGTGATATTTTAATTTAATTATGTATGACTTATATTTTTTTAAATATGAAATTATAACTAAAAAAGTATGCAATTATGTAATTTTTTTTCTTTCGAAATGAGTAGATTTTGATGTTGGTAGAGGAATTGTATCACTATAACTCTATAACAACAGAACATGTTTTTTTAAAAGCTGTTAATATGATGTTGATAATTTTTTAAAAACAATTTGAATCTGATTATGGGATTGTTGACTTCTGATTAACTTTTTTTTTTTTTTGTATGAATGATATAGTCGACGAACCTTATAATATGAACGATTTAAATTATCGAAAAAAAATTTAAAAAAAACGCCCCACCAGGGCACCACAGATCCCTGTTGTGACTTTAATCAAAGTATGATCCCAAATCTAGATCCATATTGGGTTTGTCTCGACGATCTATACTGTTCATTTTATGAGGGTCATTGAGTATCTTATCATACCAAAAATCAAATTGGTTTTGCATTAGTGACTCGATCAAATAACATTTTTTCTAGTAAAAATGTAAACGAGTTGTATGATTTAAAGATACTCCATTAATTATTTTTTTTAAATAAATATGTTTTGATCAAATGGTCAATGTTTGATCAATTTAATTTTTATATCAATAATATATTTGAAGGACTCCACCAGATGAATGATTTGGGCCTACAATGAATTGAATTGGACCTCTAACACTGGATTCTAAAATTACAACCAAATATTTTAGTTGTTTTTTTATTCAATAAATTAAATAAATTGACTTAAAAATACTATCGAGCGGACCATCACACATAAATTAAATGAAATTTCGAAGATGATTTCCATTTAACATGTCCCATAAATAATTTCTATGCAAAAAATAGTATTGAGAACCTGGAACATGAGGATAACCGAAGAGTATTTTTATGCGCACGAAACCGCAGAACATTCACAAGAGTGAGTCGTCCAAGGGGTGGGTTTTACAATAGGACCCATCTGAGACTCAAAGCTTGTAAGTGTTCTATGATCAATTTCTACGCACATAATTTTGTTTTTAACAAAACAAAAAATTATGAAAGAAATTTTACAAAAAAGGAAAAAAAAATTTTTTATGAAAATCAGTTGAACCGTCGTGGATCAGTGACATTAATCCAACAATGACGATAAGGAAAACCAACTTTCCTAGCGAGCTTCCTATCCCATTCCAACTCAATCTTTCTTTGTTCCGACAAGCCACAAAACTTCTGCAAGTTGTTATCCATGGCGTCGTGAAACTTCCACCATCTGTGGTGTGCGATGTCGCTGGCATACACTCTCTGATCGGCAATGTCCCAATTACAGTCATAGTCCCTGTAACACAGCCACGGCTTTAACCCCAGGTAATGTATCGCATACAGCTTCGGAGGATCCGACCCGAATAGCTGGTTCTTCACACCCGCCTCCACTGACCCATTCGACCAAAAGTTCTTCAAAAAATTCACCCTCCTCGGCAACCTGTGCCACCACACAAACACCTCATTCAAGAACCCCTGGTCGCCGCCGTTGTACGACACGATCTCTTTGCGCCGTTGCATGAATATTTCAAATGTACAGTTGGATGGTTCTATGACCATGATTCCCGAATTGAATATCCAACCGTCGTTTCCCACCGCCGATATCTGAGGATAGTGGAACAGGAGATCCAAGCTGCGGAGTACTATGATGTCGGAGTCGATGAAGATTATCTTGTCGTAGTCTGTGAGCTGCCATAGTCGGAACTTGCTGTAGTTGTATTCGTTGTACGAGTTCTTTGCCGCTCTCGGGTTTCGGATCCTTTTTATGACTCGGATTTTCCAGCCCGCTGCTGCCAGGGCTTCGCGTTTGGGAACCGAGATGGAGTTGTCCAGGAGGAGGATCAGGTCGCGTTTGGTTCCGGTTTGGAGGAGGCTCTGGGCTAGGGCTATTGCGCCGCAAACGTAAGATTCGGAGGAATGCAGGAGTGTAGCGTAGGCTTCGCGTTTTACTGCTGTGTTTGTGTCGTTTCCGATATTGGATAGATCGTAAACATCGTCCACTCCTGAAATCAAAACGTGTGTTTGAGCGATTTCAACCATACATATTATTTTTTATAAAATTGTTTTGGAGTTCTAATTTTTAAACTCTAAAGATAGTTTTAATGAGTTGGCAGTAAACTCCACTCATAGTGATGATGTTTTGGTCTTGATTTGTTTTATTTTATTTTATTTTTGTTCATTGTCATGTTATTAGTGTTCCATTAGAGCACCAAAATTAATAATCTGAATCATTGCTGTATTTTTTATTAGTTAAAATATAAAAAAATAAAATTTTATTTTATCTATATACTTCAATGCTATTATTTATTTTATCTATTTATACCTATAAATTGTTTAAAGAGCATCACTAAATGCCATTTTGGGAACATGGTGCCAAAAATGCCAGAAAAGCCATTTGGCAAGTGCTAAAAACGCAGCTATAAAATTACAAATTAGGGCCTATGAAAAAAAATAAAAAAATAAATCTCTTATGTTGGGTAAGGGTATTTTGGTAATTTTAATTTGATTTGACACCATAAATAAATATTAAACTAAAAAGTAAAAAGTCAACTTTTTACCAACTTCCCAAATCACTTCTAAAAAAGCCAAAAAATTTGGTAAAAAGTCAAAAGTAACTTTTTATCAACTTCCCAAAACAATCCTAAATTCTTCAAATGTGACTTACCCTTGAAATTTTTTATTCTAGTAATTAACTAATGAAAATGATTAAAATATAATAATATTAACTATAATAACTAACCGTCCTCATTGAAAAAGCCCCTTATTTTTAATAGTTTTGATGCTTTGTTACGCGCCTCATCACCAAGAAAAAGTTGTCGCATAAATAAACATAACAACAAGCACAGGTTATTCTAATTTTTTACACTTAAGATTGATATTGTTGTGTCATTTTAAATGAATAATTCATAAGTATAGTATGTTATTTACTTATGTATTTTTGGGACTTAAATTACACATTCTGTAAGAACTTATGACACATTTTTATAGGGTTTTAACTTACACGAGTTTATGTTAAATTATGCGATTTTATGAAATGACTTCCGTATGTTTATGATAACGTATGTCAAATTGTGTTTTTTTAAATTTTTATGAGTTAATTAAAGGTGACTTATGCATGCTTATGAGAACTTACGTTAAGTTATGATTTCTTAAATTTTTATAAATTAATCTATGAAAATTTGTGTTTAAATTATTCAATTTTATAAAATAACTTACGTATTTTTATAAAAATTTACACAAATTAACGTACCCTTGCATTGCACACCTAACCACTACTGTAAGAATTTTTTCTAAATATGACTCAATGTGACTTATATATGATTATACTAGATTCATCTCATTAAGTAACATACATATACATCAATTAGATGGTGACTAATCATTGATGAATACACCAATATATACATAATGTATAGAAGACTAATGGAGATAGTGTTAATGCATTGTGTTAGAAATTGGGCGCCCATGTAGCATGACCCTTTGAACCTTTTGAACCTGAACCTTTTGAACCTTATCCATGTAAGTTTGAATTTTAATTCAAAACTTATTTAGATAACCATTCAGGATATCTATATCTATCGTATCAACAGATATGGATAGATGGATAGATAGATATTGGTGGTTATATATCTGATTATATATTTTAGATAATATATTGATACATCAGATACATATATCAGATACGTTATGTGGTTTTTACCCATAACCTTTTTCCAGACTCTCTCTCTAACTCCCTCCCATTAAACAACGATCAAGCCATTTTGCACTGTGACTTGTATGGGTGATACTCATTTTGTAGTATCACTTCACTGCTGGGTTCGTTGTTCAGTTTCTGGAAGTACGTGATTTACCTGCGAGGTTCTATCACCTAAATGTATGATCTAAATGGTTTTCCCACTGCGTTATAATACTTTATGTTTTACATTGGTATCAGAGCCAATATAGGTTTTTTCGTGCTTATTTTTATGCATTAAAATATGTGTATATTTTTATATAAATATATATACATGATATATGCATGAATATTAATAAAGGAGGAAGATGTCCACTCTCATTAGATGAAGAGCATAAAATATCTTATTTTTATGTTCAATAAATGTCATTTTTAATGCCATAAATGTATTTATTTTGGAAAATGGAGTCTGACAGTACCAAAATTAGACCAGAAAACAACCTCGAAGGCGGAGCGTGTGATGCATGCGCTATATGATGCCGCCCAGCGGCTCCACGCGCATCAGATGCATTGCCACGCGCCACCACGCGCCCTCACGCGCTGAGACGCGCTGCCACCCGCGCGCTGTCCGCGTTTTCATGCGCGCGCCGGGCGCTGAGCCACGTGTTGAGCCGCGTGCTGCGCCGTGCGTTGAGCCGCTCGCCAAGCCGAGCCGCGCCATTTTCCGCGCCGACTTGGCTGGTTTGACGGCTGAGAATAAGGGTCTGTTTGTTTTCTTTAAAATTCAAAATTACGTTTAAATGGTCATAAGTAATTCGTTATAGATTTGTTTTAAGCGTGGTTTATACTGTTAGACTTAGAATTAAAATTTCTATCTTCTGTAAAATTTTCAAAATTTTATGAAAATAATTTTTTTTTTCTGAAATAATAATTCATTATTTCTTCTTTAAAATGCATCTAGGTGTTGCATGATTAAATTTCTGGGGCTGAATTTTTTATTGTAGATTACTGTTATAGTTTACTATTTATTAGTATGGTTATTTCATTTTACCAGATTCTGAAATATTTATTTCTAATTTTATGTGTGTTTATTAGTTATTTAAAATTTCAGAAAATTCTAGAAAATTTCAAAAGTGATGTACTTTCTGTTATGGCATAATTTGAATATTAAATACAGTATATTGTTGTTTTTTGCCTAGAGTTACTAATATGTTATAATTAGAATAACATGGTTAATTGTTATTTGTTTAAATTCCATTATTAATTGTGACATAGCATGAGTTGGTTATGAATCTACATTATGATGCTATTGTATGGAATTAAAATTTTTTATCATGATTTTAGACATGCCATAGTCAGTGGAAGGTTATTCGGTTGAGAGAAATCTTTGTAGATTAACTCCCGAAAATCAATATTTTGCGCATAAATTAAATTAAATTTTGGATAATTGTCACATGTGGCATAAGAGATGATTACAAGCATAGCGAATTTTCGATCTTGCGACTTGTGTAATATTGTCACTATTTAATTTAGATTTTTGTGGCAAAATTATATTATGCTAATCAAATTAATCCCAATGCGAATTTCTCTTTAAATTGACTTAGCTTATGGAAGTTAATTGGTTGACCTAGACTTAGTAGAGTTGTTCAAATGTAAACAATGTAATCCTATTCTTTAGATGAGCAAAAGTCTTGGAGACTTTAGGTCAGACCTTAATTGAGCCAAAGTAAGGAAACATGACGCAAAGTCGCCGTGGTTTTGTTGCCTTGTTTGACACAATAAAAACTAATGTTTGCGCTATGGTTAGCAGCATGCTACGTAGTTTTGGTTGGCGAGTTTTGGAGTTATGAAATTATTAAGCCCTCAATAGATCTGTATATGATCTTGACTATTGAGCTGCGCAGATTGACTTTGTAATTTGACTTGTAATGATGTTGCATCATTGGATGAAGTAACATTCAAGAGTCACGTCATCTAAGACATGCGAGCTTAAATAAATTAGTCATTAAGTGTAAGACGAGTAGCCAGTATGAGTAGTGTTTTGCTCTCTACCCAATTATTGGAAATGGATGGAGCAAAATTTCATGCACTATAATAGTGTGCATTGAAGTATCACTTGAAGTTAAAAGATTAGCGCTTAGTAGCAGCAAAATCTATTAACACTAAGTGAAAAGATTAGCGCCAAGTGGCTGCAGAAGCTATTAGCATGGCCAACTTGTCTAAGTGTGGACACTTACTGTTTCCACACTTCAGTGTGAGACATGATAAGGTGCTTCTTTGTGTGATTCCTTTACTAGGCTAACGTTTTGTTTTGAATAACGTTTATCACTAAGCGCAAACGTAGCAGCATAGTAATGAAAAGGTCAAGGCTGACAAGGTTGTTATGACTCTAAGAATTTGACGCATCGCTTGTGAGAGCATTGTGTTGAATTAGACTCTTTAGCCTAATTCGCGCTTAAGTTACTTCAGGAGCTGTCATAGATTGATAGCTTATTCTCTCCTTCTTGTGGATAGTAGAATTAATTGCAAGTAGCTATGAAGCGAGAAACAGAGATGGCAAGAGGAGTATCGTCATCTTTCAACTAGATGCAGTAAAGTGTATGGAGAATAAAATTGACTTGAAGGTGCAGGGGATTAGTACTTACTAGTTAAATTTGCGACTTAGGCGCACTTGGTATCTCCATGACATCCTTTTATGATCTAGTGAATATGAATTAGTCATGAGTCATTACCTAGTTGAGCCTAAACCTTTAAAACTTGTCTAAGATGATTGGAATTAGTTTATGACATTAGTCATGAATCGGTCGCTTATTATACTTAATCACATTAATGAGATAATGACACGATGGTTTGAGTAGGCCTTCTGGGGCCCACTCGCTTATGACATCCCGCTCTCATGTGAATGTGTAACTTTGTTCGCAATGGGTGCGCACAAGTAAGTAGGAAAGCCGTTAGAAGGTCATTTGTTTTGGCGCATTTAGTCCACTATGATATTTGTGACTAGATATGTGTAAGGGTATGATGGCTAAGCCTCAATCTCAACACATTTAAAGATTACGATACGCGAGTCAAGACTATTTGATCTCCCATAAGTCAAAAGTTTTGAGATGATTTTTGACATTGCACATATGAGGTTGAGATCAATTAGACAACAACTTTTGTGCTTTAAGTTTTGACCAAGGTGGCGAGTATCTATTTGAGTTATTTTTTAGAAAGCTCTGTGAAGAGAAATGGATGCTTAGAAAATTGATTATTCCTAGTACTCAACAACACAATGGTGTAGTAGAGATAAGAAATTAAATATTGTAAATGTTAGGTGGATAATGGCGC